GAAACTCGGCCGGCACAGCCATCTCAGACAGGTACGTCATCAGCATATGCATGGGCAGGCGCCTGGACTAAGGGACGGGCCTGGCTAGCTAGGGTGCTCCCGCCCCCCCCCCCCCCCCCCAATGTCTTCAAAGTGGAAAAAACAGATTTCGGTACAATTGAGCCATCAGGTGGAAAGGAGAAGACAATATGCAATCACGTACCTTTGAATGAAATAGAATATGCCCAAGACAAACGCCCACGATGACGTTTTGGTGTCCAGATAGAAATGATAACCGTTGAATCGCTGTGCAGCGCAGACCGACAGACCATCAATCTGCCTCTACCACTTCAGCGCTCTCCCACAACCGTCTGCAAATCTCCTCGGCTTCATCTCGACTGCGTGCACCCTCACTTTCAAAACTCTGCCGGCCCTCGGCATCCCCCTCGTCACCAGCATTCCTGTCGCGACCCTCTTCATGATCATTGAAAATAACACGCGACCTGCGCGACAAACTGGCCCCATCGCTTTCCATCCCAGCCTCGTTACTGAAACTTGTGCTCAGGCTGCCGGAACCGCGCGCGTTTGCGAAACCATGGTTGCTTGAAGCCCCCGGTATGCGACTTTTCCGCGACATGCCCGGAATGTGCTGAATGCGCGCAATCGAGTCCGCAAGGGGGTTTCGGTACCTGCGCACAACTTTGTACTCGACCGTAACGTGGTTGAATTGTTGCTGCAGCCTAGGGTCAAGTCGCCCTTCGCCGTTGGCGTTGTAGTGGATGCCCGACTGCAAGAAGGTGGGACCGCCCGTGCGGGGGAGTGTAACGGGCACTAGTTTCTGAGGTTCAATGGCAGAGGATGCACGCTGCAGCATAAGTTTCTGCTGTGTTCGCGAAGGTGGTAGGTTTGTGGGTGTCGTAGCACCAGAGCGAGACGCCGCCTTGGAGGGAGTATCTGCTCCGCTGACGTTGGGCATCGACTTGTTTCGCTTGCTGTTGTCCAGCTCGCCGTCTTGGCCTGTTCCTGTGCTGCTGTGCGATGGCATGTATGCCCCATCGTGAGGGGTCCCAGCAGAGCCGTCACCATCCATGAAGCGCGATACCAGATCTCTTCCAGGCGTATCCACCAGTGTCGATCCAGCACTTGTACTCACCAAGTGTTGCCGATGTGTCGCTGAGAGTACCGTGGCAGCCACATTGGACGTTTGGGCAGGGTTGTGATGCGAGGCGCTGCGTTGCAGCAGGCGCGACGTGATCATGTCGGCATTAGCTGGTCGCGAGTGGTTCTGTGAACTGCTGCTGCCGTTGGTGCGCGTGTTGTCGCACGTACGATCGGGCAGTGTCTCCGTTGCTGGGACGCCATAGTCCTGGTCACTTCCCGACTGAGAGGCCCCGCCTCCTCTGTTATTCTCCCTGTTCTTCTCGGCCAATTTATGCTGCGCTTCAAGCACGACTGAGTTGGATCGTGTGTTGGAGCGCGTGGTAGTCGGCGACTGGGACGCGCTCTCCTCGGTCCAGCCATCGTCACCGCCCTCTTCTACGTCCTCCTCTTCCTCGTCGTCTCCACCGGCCACATCGAAATGCACTGTTGCTTGTGGCTCTGGAGAAGCGTGCCGTGATCTATTGACACGTTTCAAATGGGTGACGTCGCTCTTGGAGACCTTGACAGCGTGCTTTGCGTGCCCCTTGTGCGCCAGATGTCCGCTGGAGTGGTTCTTGCGTAGGTTGGCCTGCGTGTGTGCTGTGTGCGCTGCTCTCACAATGGCCCCAGACGAGGCATTGCGCTTGACACTGGGCCGAGGACTGCTGGGAGCAGAGAGGGAGGCTCCTGACTGCGAGCGGCGATGGTGTCGCCCCGTGCTGTCAGCCGTGTGCGCCTGTGCCTGCTGTGTGTGTTGGGCCGCCTGTGCTGCTTTGTTCAGCTTGTTCAGGTTCTTGCCAAACGACGCGTTCCGCTGCACACGCTGGCCAACGACATGATGGCCATGGCCCCGGGTTTTGTGGTGAGCCGGCCGGGCGTGGCCTTCGGATGGTGACTGCGATGGCTGCGACTGCGACGAAGACTGCCTCGTCATGGCCGCGGGTCGCTTGGCTCGCGAATGGGCGTCGTCGGCAGACGCCATGCCTGCGTCTTCGCAAAAGGGAGAGTGGGAGGGGGCAGGCGGCGGTGCTGTGTCGTCAAGTCCAAGTCTGGGGCGGACAGCTGTGGTTGATATCCTTGTGCGGGGAGGGGGGAGGGAATGCTATCGAGGGTCTATGGGTGGCGCACCTCTACATACGGGGTGCCCAAGAGGGGAGCAGCCAGCGTCGAGGTTCGTGGTGCTGGCAAGTAGCTCAGCGGGCGTCCATGGGATATCAATTGCAGGTGTGGGAGCACGGGAGCGTGGTACGGCGTGTGCCACGTTAGTCCCAGTAACAATGACAGTCAGTTGAACCGTGGTGGGAGTGCCCAGGTGCAGTACCTACCAGTCTCGGTCAAAAGAGAAGGCGGTGAAGTCGCCCGACCTGTTTTCGGCTGACCGCGGCCCGCCCGTCACCACACTGGTCACGGCAGCACCATCACCAACCCTTTCCTGTTTGCTCTTCTCACCATACTACAGAAGAGACTTCTGCAGATGAAACAGCATTGAGCCACAAAAATGATATGCAGAATATCTTTTTTTGCTGCAAATCTGTGTCTCGTATTGCATCCTATGTAGTACATGGCGTATACTTCATATAACCTATCATCCGTCACCCATTGTGCTTTCAATGTCTGCCTCACCTACTACCGGTAAAGTTTCAACTTTGTGCCAAGCGCTTCCTCTGTATGTGCCGGCGAGCGAGAAGAGCAGAGTAGAGCATGAATTGTGCCTACATTATCTTGGAGAGCGTTATACATGGGTCGTCCCTTGCTAACCGTGTGAAAGTTTGGCTTTCAACCAGGATGTACCTCGCAGCAACCATTAAGCCTTCTAAAGGCGCCACTCCCGTAAAGTGCAGTGAACATGGTCGGTCGGTATTTCCACTCTTTGGTCAACTTGTTTTCCAAGTTCTGTTCCCGTCACGTGCCCCAGTCTTCGCGGGGACCTATCAAGAGTCGGACATCTGAGTAGATCACTAGGCAGTGAAATTGTGCGCGAGCCTCCTGAGTTTGCCTCGCATCCCTCGTCGTAACGCCGCTCTCTCCCGACTCTTCTGCCGCTGCGCTGGGTCCATTCCATCAACACAGCCGAAAGACGAGGTAGATAGGACTGACGCAGCACGAGACCGATATGAGGGTGGTGGCGGTCCAGAGAAGTAGGTGGGAGCGTCCGAGAGATCACCCATGGAATCCTCTTGATCTCGGTCTCCGGAAGCGGTCGACGGTCGCGTGCTGTCACTACTCCTAGAAGTCCAGGGAAACCTCGTATTTATACGGCGATCAAGATTGCTTTTCAGGCCGCAGAGTGTGCTCAAGGGTACTCCAAACTGAGCAGTTTTGTTTTCAGTTGGCTCATCAAAGATCGCTGCAGTTTCATGTGCCGTAGACGGCCGAATAGCAGAGTCTCGGATAGAGTGTGGACGAGATAAGAGCTTAGGCGGGGCAGCCTGGGCCATCTGTTCATAGGAGAAAGCTAAGACTGGCATTGAAGTTGACCGCCTATCCAGCTTGCGCACTGCGAGATGCTGAGATCCTGCACGCAGCATTGACGGCATCTGAACATGTACTTTTCTAGCACGCCCACGAAACGGCTTGATGTGCTGACTTTGTGCTGTAGGTGGCCTTCTCCGGTCCGGTTCCCTAATGATTGGGATGGCATGTTGTACTTGATTGGTATCTCTGATACCTGGAACCGTTGCTGTTCGCCAATACGGCAGACCGCCCATGAGCGGAGGACACGGTGTGATCGTGCTGGCTTCCAGCCATGCGTTGATATCCCGCATCACGTCTGCCTCTGGTCTTGGAGGGCGTAGTGGAGGCTGCACTTGGGTGGAGAAAGGAGTTCTTTTAGTGGAGAGTAGACGAGCTTGTACCGAAGGTGATGTGCTTGCGTTCGTCCCGGTGTGGACTGAGGGTGCGGTTCGTGGCCGCTGGATGGGCAGTGGAGCCTGACACTCCGGCTTCAGCATCTGACGAGAGGTAGTCTTGCGCAGTTGTCGCTGGAACCAGTGTCTCGGCCCGACGAGCCTGCTTTTGGGCACCTGTAAAGAGTTCTGAGTAGTTGTTGCTGGCATGCTGACTGGTGTCGAAGAAATTGCTCGTTGTATATCGGAAGCTGAGTGATGCGGGACAATAACACTAATGTGGAAAGAGTGTGAAAAGGGACTGGTGAGTGGAGGAAATGGAGGACTATTTCGAGGCCATTGTAGACCAGCAAGTGCCGCCTGCCTATAGTTCAATAGGTGAGGCAAGAGGTGACCATTTGCTAGCGTCATGTTGAGCTCGCGACTGGCAGTCACGTTGTCGCATGGTGGTAGGAACGCGCCCCAATTCAGGACCATGGTTGATTCCGCAAAAACGTCATCGCAGCGACTGGCGTTGAAATGGCTATGCATCGACAGACGGCCATGTTCTAGGGAATGAAGGTAGAATCTGGTTGTTGATCTTGGTTTCCCAGGGAGTGACGAAATGAGCAATTTCAACACCAAGATCATGGGTTCGCATTTCCATCTTGACACATTCGACTATGCCAATCGTTTGATTATATTAGGTATAACTCTGGTACTCGGGAGTAATAGTTTCTATGTACAATATACGAAACAGCAGCGAGGCCAATACGAGGCTGGGTATATGGGTATGCAGAAGAGGAAGACAAGCCATTTTGACAAGGACGAAGGGTACTCAAAGAAAATGTGGCAGACTATATGACAAAGAAAAAGAGGCAATGAAATGTAAAGTGATGCAACGAAATAGCAGCGCCGTTGTAGGTGCATGTACGCCGTGTGGAAACTTCCTCCCTCCTTCTATAAAAATATGCACATGTACACTTCGTCTATTCAGGTTGGTAAACGGTTCCTAGCCGCCCATTGACACTCCTCCGTCATTCGAACCAACAAAAGCATTCGACATACTCATGTCCATTCTGAGAAACTGGTCTTGGTGATTGTCCATACCCTCCAACCCTGTGGACATGGTCATGCCACCACCAAGGCCATTGTTGGGACTGATGGTGTGAGGGTCCATCATAGCCAGCGAAGGGCGTCGACTATTGTCAGCGGAACTAATGTGTTGTATGTGCGGTGACATTTGCTGGTGCTGAAGTGGGCTAAAGTTTTGGTTCCGCGATGTGTTCATGTGCTGACGAGCAGCAGCCCAAGCCTGTGCCTGTGCCTGAGCTTGAGCATGGGCTTGAGCGTGCTCAGCACGTACCTGTGCCATGGCTTGCGTAATGTTCAGCGGGGTCTGCATGTGTGATTGCATTTGCTGGGGAGGGCGAAGGGAAGTTGATTGTTGTGGCATATGTAGTTGAAGATGTTGATGTGAAGAATGGGACTGCATCTGGTGCTGCATCTGATCCATGGGATTTTCGTCTGATACTGTGTGCGGGGTAAGGCCAATAGCATCGTCGTCATCGTCACCTTCTGCATCGACCTGGTCGCCTGCATCGCCATTAATGGTAGGAGGAGCAGTGAAGGGACCCTCCATCCTGACTGGACTTGGTTGCTGTGGTGGATTGACCGTTGCAAAGTGTTGTTGGGGAAGGCTGGTCATGGAGCAGCTTCGTGTTGCGGCTTGATTATTAGGGAGAGGCTTTTGGGCAGCCATACCGGCCACCGACGCTTTCTTTTCGCGGATGGCAGACCTCCACTTCTCAATCAGTCGTTCATAGTCCCAGTTGCGATGGTCCATGCCGTATTTACCCAGCTCTTTCGCCGTATCTCGGCCAAGGTGTATGCTGATGAGAGGTACATCAGGCGCTCCTGCCGTCCAGCGATTGGCTTTCAGATATTCAATCTCTCGTCGTGCATTCTCGAGCTGTACCTCAGCCTCGTGCCGCTGATCGTCTGCACGTACGTAGCAGCGTAACACCTCAATCTGCCAGCACTCTTGTCTGACCTGATCTGTCTGACGAGTCCAGTGATTGTATGCGTCTGCAATGTGGCAAAAGAGCTTTTGAGGGTCAGGGTCAAACAGAGGGGGGGTCGGCAGCGGAGAAGTGGCTGCCGAAGAGGCGTTGGATTGGGAGCCAGACGGATAGACTTGGTTGATCTGGCGCTGGCGCTGTTGGGCGAGTAGGCGTGCGCGGACCTGCTTGTTCAGAGCCTCATACTGCTTCTGGCCAGGCGGGGAAATGGGCCAGGACTCGGCCGTCGCGAAGGGCGTGGGGGAGAAGAGGGTGGTCGGCGCGGGGAGGATGCGCAGGCAGAGCGAGGGGAAGTTGAGAGAGTAGGGGTCGAAGTCGAACAGGCAGGAGCCCGTTACCCTAGCGCTACAGGTGAGTTTTGTTAGTGACGCCTTGGGACGGGCAGTAAGCAGGCACCTACTTGGCTTCTCGCACGCTCTTCAGCAGCTCCCTCAGCGCCATTTCCGTCGCACGTGCAATCTCGGCCTCTTCCTCTGATTTCCGCCGCTGGACGAGGTCCGCCTTTTGCAACTGCCGCGAAGAGTCGCGCCGCACGTCAGGCGTCTTGGTGGCAGCGGTCCGCGCCGACTGCCAGCCAATGTCGCGGAACTGCTGGCGTGCTCTCCCCATGTCGAGCTGGTCGTCGTGGTCTACGTCGGGGCTGTCGACCAGCATGGACGAGTCATCGCGGGCTACGTTCTTCTTGTGGGCAGGGGTGCTGGTGCCGCTGTCATCGCGTCGTGGGGTCGAGGACATGCTGTTTTTTGCTTGGCGCCGTGTGATGCCACCCCGCAGTTTGCGGATCTCGTCGACCAGATGGATGCCATCGGGGGCCTTTGGATTCTTTTGGCGTATGTAGAGGTCTAAATGACGGCCCAGGCTCGAAGAGGTGAACGCCTGGCCACAGAAGGGGCAGTTTTTATCCTTGGCTGCCTTGAGCCCAGAGTCTGTCGTTGAGCGCGGGGTGTCTGTGTTATTGTTGGCGGCAGGGGCACTGCCCGAGGAGGAGGAAGAGGCAGAGGTGGTGGTGGTGGTGGTGGTGGTGGCGGCAGTGGCGGTGGAGGTAGCAGGGGCAGTGTCGGTTGTGATTGTAGTTGTGGCAGCAGCAGTCGTAGCTGCCGTGTTGTTTGAGCTGTTGTTGCTATTACTATTACGATTGTTGTTGGTGTTGTTGTTTCCGTCGTTATTGTTGTTGTGATTGTGATTGTGATTGTGATTGTTATTGTCTTTAAGAGTAGTGGCGGTGGTTGCTTCGGCGTCGGCCATTGTGGTGCCAGGCATTGGGCTCAGGGTTCCCAGGCTCGGGCTTGTTTCGAAACGCAGCGTCGTTCATGCAGGCGGGCGCGAAGAGGGACGGGTAACTACAGCATTACTATGTCGGCTCGAAGAGGAAACGGGGCGCAAAAGGAGGTCAGCATGGCAGGCAAGCAGGGTGGTGTGGGCAATCAACGGCTAATGAAAGAGAGAGAAAGAGAGGGGGGAGAGGAAAGAGACGCCCAATAGAGGCTGCCAGACAAAAAAGGAGCAGCGACGGGTTTGCAACCAAAGGTCCCGCCAGCTCAGGAGCTCCAGAGTCCATGATCATCGCCTGGTGTGGACGCACGCGGCGCCCTCTGTGCCCACCAGCAGCGGGAACCACCCGCAACGCCGCCGCCTTGGCCTCGACTGCCGACCTCGACCGTGACTGGCGACCTAGTACACATGTAAGAGGTAGGTACTACGTACTGTACGTTACTCTAGCAGTGTGTAGAGTTGTAGCTGGAGCTGCTATACAGGTGCCTAGGTAGACTGGACCCTGTGTGGTTCGTTGTAGGGTCTCTGTAACTTACCGGTCCGGTGCTGACCTCACTACTGCTACGGTACGTGGGTACCGGTACCTTGTACCATACGGTAGTATAGGTACTCAGTGGGTATAACACACTCTCGCCACTACAACCACAACCACTAACCACATCCATAATCCTCCCCACAACCACTACCACGACACCGCCCTATCCTCCTCACAACAACACAGTACTTGGTACCTAGGATGAGAGCTACTGGTATCTACCACGTACACAGAGTAGCTTTCCCAGCTGCCCTGGCCGCAAGCTCCTCGTATTGCTGCATGCCCCTCTCCAGTCTGGTCAGCTGCCCCTTGGCCAATCGATAAACAGCTCCTCGACCTCGAGCTACCCCTGTGCCAGTCCCTGTCTCTTCTTCTGCTTCTTCTGCTTCTGTTTCTTCCCTATCCGCGCCATCGTCAGCCTCGCCGCCCCTCCTCGGATCCATCCCACCTGCCCCTGGCGCTAGTCGTCGTCTATACGGCGACATGCCTTCCACTACACACCTGCCCTCTCCGTTAGTCACCGTACCTAGTCGTGCTTCTCGCCCACAATCAACATGGAAACCTTCGACTGTGCCCTACCTCATGAAGAATCGGTCATGCGTGACTACCACCAACGCGCCCTCATACTGCTGCAACGCCAACACCAGGCTCACAATCGTGTCCCCGTCCAGATGGGTCGTCACCTCGTCCAGGATGAGCAGCTGCGGGGGTGGCCATAGCAGCTTGGCAAGCGCAACCCGCACCTTCTGCCCCCCCGAGAGCAAAAGGAGGGGAACATGGGACACGGTCTGGCCATGCAGCCCTAGGTTGCCCAGTAGCTCTCTGGCCTCCTTCTCCTGCATCCCGCCTCCGCACCCAGCTCGAGTGCTCTCCAGCGCCATCACGTGTTGCAGAGCCGTAGTCTGGTTGTCCATCCGTCCCACCGCCCTCATTTGCTCCACAGACTGCTGCGAAAACCGTCCGATCCTGGCTCTCGCATGACGGCTGACGGTGCCAGACGTGGGCTCGCGACCGCCTGGTTCACTACTTCCCAGGAGGAGAGAGACCAAGGTCGTCTTGCCAGACCCATTGAGCCCTGCGATCCCTATCCTCCCCCCCGCTGTCACTGTCAGCTGGATCTTCTTCAAGACAGGGCATCGATCCTGCCCAGGGTAGGCAAACGACACATTCTCGAGGCTGACCAACGCTCCAGGAAACCTCAGGTCGGGAGGCTGTTGCGGGAACGAGAGGGAGACGGGGGGGTCAAAGTCGGGCACCTCAATCTCCGCACGCTTGCTCGTATGGTAACCCCCAAGATCGCGATTGAGCTTGAATCGGCCGCCTCCGAGTCCGACTTCCAGTCCCATTCGTTCGTCGAGCTTCTTCTTGCGTGAGGCTGCTTGCTTCAGCTTCCTATCGTCCCCTTTCTCCTTGGCTGCCTTGATGTTCCCCGCGATCGTCTTCTCCATATGTTTCTTCTGTTTCTCCTGCGCATCCTTCATCTTCCTCATATGTTTTACCTTCTTCCATCGTTCAGCTTCGTACACACTGAGGCCTCCTCGAAACGTCTCAAGCTTTTGATGGCGCAAGAGAATTAGTTCTTCCGCCACCGCATCGCCAAAGTCGCGGTCATGTGTCGTGACGAGAAGAGTAGTCTCCTCTAGGTGGCGGAGATAGTCCTGCAGCCAGAGAATGGACGGCAGGTCCAGGAAGTGGGTCGGTTCATCCAGCAACAAGATATCTGCCGGTTGGGTGAGTGCACATGCAAGTTCGCAGCGGGTTTTCCATCCACCAGAGAGCTCAGAAATCGGGCCATCGATACGTTCAGCTGGGAAGCCCAAGCCCAATAACACCACCCGCGCCTTTGCTTCTGCTTTTCCGGCATCCATCAGCTCCAAGGATGCCTGTGCATCTGCGAGCATATCGGCAGCTGCTTGCGTCTCTGCACTGATCTGCTTGGCGTCCATGTCCGCCTCATGCCGCCTCACTTGCGTAACGGACGCTCCAAATCGCCCCTCTAGTTGTACAAGCTCCTTCCTTGCCTGCTTGCCTCTCGCACCACTTCTTCTCTCTGCTATCCGATGCCCTTCTTTCAACCGGACTGCCAGTCGTTCATGGCAAATCTGTCTATAGGCCCTAGCAGGCGCTAGGGCATCCGAAGACGACTCAAAAGCTTCCTGGAGTCTTCTCTCTTCCCGAGTGTATTGCTCTCGAGCGCGATGGCCCCTCATCACATACCGTAGCACTGTGTCACGCTCCCCGACTGCTTCTGCCTCTATCTGCCTCTTGTCTTCGCCGTAATCTTTTTCAGTCTGGCCTAGCAACAGAATCGTTGTACTCCAAGGGATCCCAGGTATCAATCCATTAGCAATGGCCTGAAGTAAAGTTGACTTTCCCACCCCGTTACGACCAACAAGAACGTAATGACGTGATGCGACGAGATGAAGTGTTGTGCGCGAAAGGAGTTCGCGGTTTGCCACTGAAATGGAAAGATCGTTGATGAGGATCTGTTCATGTGTAAGCCTGGATTGGGTGGGAAGTTTCTTGAGGAGAGTAGGGGTGGTGTGGTGCCAGGGGTAATTGACCTCCTTCGAGGCAGGTGCATCAATAGCATCCAGTGCGTAGCGCGATTGTTGCGCAGTCACTGTGATGTAACCACCACCTGGATGCTCCATGTCCTCTTGTGATGGCATCCTATCCTTGTTTCTGCGAACCATGATGTCTGGCTACTCTTTGTCGATGAGGTTGTCTCTTTCAATGGTCTTCTCCAGTCGGACGATGCAACGTACGAGTGAACGAACCTGGAATGCTTGCTTCCATCCTGGTTCACTATCTTGAAAAGGAAACCACGACTTTATACAGCCGCTTCTCAAGCCAGGCGCGACACAAGAGTTGCGATAGACCCTTGGGAAGTTGGGATGCCAAGACGATGTGCGAACTGGCTCAGGGTGAGTCGACTGTGTGGAATCCCATTGGTTGGTCAGTCACTTCCTAGTCCCTGATCACGAAGGTGCTCGGTTACCTACTTTTGGAAGCACGAGCACCCTTCCAAGACAACCAATTACTAGCCGTCTTCTTGAGTCGCTAACAGTGTGTCAGGCTATCGACAAAGTACAGCTGTCTGCTCTACAGCGTCCTCTGAGCTTAGTCTACAAGAGGACTACATCAGTGTCAAGCTCTACACTACCAAACGATGATTTTGGTGGCTTTGTGCCTTTTTAAGCCACCACATGTGTCAACGGCCAAAGGATAGGATGCCTTTTGTACCAAAACTTGAGATGACGATATGGGGTGGCCACAATCACGAACCTGACCACGCTTTTAATTCCAAAAAACTTGGTATTCATGGGTATCTAAAATGGCTGAAAAGAATTACATCCCTCTAGGCTCTACCACTCCAACCGATCATCACAGGTCAATCGTACATCCCATCTATCCTCACCCTTCATCACCTCACCACCCTTATTGACACTCGCTACTACCCGTCTCAGATCGCTAATCATCTCTCCAGGTCCCGAGGCAAACACATCCGTCGGTCCATGTACCGTGCCTGAGACAAATTGTGCCACAACCTCGGCCAGATCTGGACGAGCTTGATAGTGATTTAAGCCCAATTCGGCCTTGGACACACCGTGCACCGAGAGCGCAGACGAGACGGATGCGGAGGACGACGAGGTGTTGGTAGAGGCAGGTTCGATTTCCTTTGCACAGTCATTTGCAATCGCTTTCTCGGCCTTGGCGGGCGGTGCGAGGTCCATTTCTTCCGAGGCGCGCGTCACGTGGATGTGGATTCCGGTGCGTAGGTTCTTGCATTTGCGTTTTAAGATAGCAAGTTCAGGCGCAACCCAGTCGATGTCTCTTCTGCGACGAATGACCCACACAAGAGACATGTGGCGATCTGGTGTCTGGGGGCGGGAGGCAAGTTCCAGGAGTACAGGGAGAACGTAGGTGATTCCCGTGCCACCTGCGACGCAAAGGACGTTTGCGTTGGACGAAAGGTTCTTCATGGTTTTCTCGCCGTAGGGGCCGGTCAAGACGACAGAGAGCCTCGCATCGGCCATGAGGTTGTCGCGGGAATCTTCGCCTTCTACTTTCTGTGCGATGCGTCTTGCGGAGAGAGCTGCAATTTTCTTGGTTTCACCCTTTTTGGCGCGGAAGATGTACGAGTGGTGTTGCGTATCGGCGCCGTAGATGGGTAGGCTGAGAGGAGTGAAAGGATGAGATTGCCAGATGCTACTTTCGGGGAACATGAGATAAAAGTGCTGGCCGACACTCCACGGATCTTGCGGGTGGTCAAAGTCAAGGCGAACAATGTCGCCGTTTGTTTCATCCTTGAAGAAGGTGATGTTAGCAGTTGCGGCGCGGAAACCCATGTGGCCCGAGGGAAGGAAGTTGTAATGCATCAATGCGGTTCTCGCAAATCTGACGCCGCGGTCGATGAACCATACAATGAGGCCAGGGAGAAGGAAGACCTTGAGTTGCTCCCAGTGGCCCCAGCATGCGCCAATGTATACCATGGCGAGCACGTAGTGGGCTTTGCGGAAAAACTCATAGCCGGTCAGTCGGATTCCCCAGGGTGTAGAGAGGAGTACGAGTAGGGTGAGAAGGATCATGGCGACGAGTCCCCAGACCATGTAGGTTTGAACGATCCAATCTAGACCGACGCTTGGCTGTGGTTGGTAGAGACGGATTTCAATGATGCACCAGCCGATGGTGTGGAGGACCGATTGTGCAAAGATGATGTAGCCCAGCCATCGGTGGAGGAAGTTGAAGCTCTGGTAGGGAAGGCCAGTGACCAGGGACAAGATGGACTCCCGGCTCGACAGCATGACGGAGAGAGGTGTGAGGGCGTAGGCCAGCACACCGACGCGGTCAGACCACGGGCCAAGACTGGTGCGGATGTTGTAGACGCCGGGCAGCTTCTTGACGGGAGTGACCCATTTCTGGTAGACGATGCCCACGAAGGAGAAGATGGTGAGATAGCCGGTGAGGACGAGGAGGGTCAGGACCTGGGTGCGGGTGACACGGCCAAAGATGGGCCTTGCAGCATCTGGCAGGAGATGGTGTCGTGCGTAGGCAGGCAGAGCTCGTTGCAGTCTTTCAAAAGAGCTGCGGGTATGTCTGACCTGCTCGCCAGCCTCGACTGGCATTGGCACGCCCGAGGGTTGCGAGCTGGCAAAATGGCGACCGACTGCCCAGATGATGAGGATGCCGCCGATGGTTGCCCAAATGATGCCAGTGTAGTACATGCCGAGGTCATGGCTGTGATAGACGACGTCGAGATAGGCGCAAGACCCTGGATCGTTGGTGCAGGGCAACACACGGTCCGCATATCCCCAATGCGGCTGCACCGTGCTGGCCTCGCTGAAGTTCTGAATGTGGACCATGATGGCTCTCAGAGACGCCCTTGGTGAGGAACGACACTGATCAATGCAGGCGTGGCCACTTGACGGCTGAGGTGGGACGCTTGCCACTGGTCCTGGGCACTGGACACAATTGGAAAGAAGACTGCGAGGTGGGTTGATGGCGTTGAGCTGGCCCTACATCTCCCCTCCCCCCAGCCCCGGGCCTGCTCGATCTCATATACTCCACGGCTACGGATGCAGACATATCAAAAGCGTAGGCGTGGGAGCATATTGCGGGCGTTTTGCCGGCGCCACCGACATAGTGTGCAGAGCCAAGCCTTCTAGATTAACATTGGGAATCTCAGAGACCATGCAAGCCGGCAAGCGTGCGTGAATTTGAGCAAATAACCCCACCACCCAAAGCCTTGCGAGTCGCATCCCACGCGGAACGCCAGTTGCTGCAGCTCGCATCTCCGGCTCGAACAGGCTGTCGGGTCCAAAGGATCTGCGCATGTCGCGCGAACCTGCAGCACCAATGACCATATGTATTGACCCGGCTGCACCCTCAACCCACCCCATCCTCCGCACCCGTTTGCGTTTTTTTGTTATCCAGTCCCGTCGAGAAGGGTGCTGTCGACATACGGTACCGGTACTCTGGTGGACACACTTTTGAGATAGAAAAAAAAAACACCAAGTGCAAATCAGATACCACCACCCTTCGCCCATCATGAGCCATCACGGCTCCTCGTCGGCCAACAGCACGGCCACTGGCACATGTCAGATGGAGGTAGGACGCATCTTTCTTTTCATCCATGGATAATGCCAGCGTCAAGTGTTCATACTGAAAATGTGCGACAGATGCTCTGGAACTGGAGAATTGTAGACTCCTGCTTCATCTCCAGCTCATGGCACATCCGCAACAATGCCATGTTCGCCGCCAGCTGCGTCGGCACCGTCCTGCTCGTCGTCTGTCTCGAGTTCCTCCGCAGAGTCGGGCACGAATATGATGCCCATCTCCTCCGCCAATTCCAACGCCAACTCCGCTCACAGCAAGCTGCATTGGCTGCAGCAACACCTGCCAACTGCTGCGATGGCCCCAGCTCCACGCTCGGTACCCAATTCGCGACATTCAGAGCCACTGGACTCCAGCAACTCGTCCGTGGAATCATCCACGCCATCACGCTCGGGGTTGCCTATCTAGTCATGTTGCTTGTCATGTATTACAATGGCTACATCTTCATCTCAGTGCTTTTAGGCGCGGTCTTGGGCAAGTTTTTGTGCGACTGGATGGTAGTAAGAATACCGTATGGCGAGGCGGGTGGTGAGAAAGATGAAAGGCGTACGTCGGTCGAAGCGTCAGGGCCGACTGGTTGCTGTGCCTGAATGACATCGCAGTGCTGAAGATGTGAGGAAACGATGAATGGGATACCCGACAACCCGACGACAATACTGTGCACACGGTAACATTGTCACTGCAGACCACTCTAAAATTACATGATCCCCAGCGGAAAGCCCATTGCAAATCATAAACCATGCGTGTGACCTCTGAGATTCTGGTGTCGGGCCTTGAAGTCCATGTGCAGTGGCGCTCGATCGTGGTGTAAATTAACTTTTCGTCCAAGTACTATCTTACTCAGTACCAGTCAATCACAGTCTAGATGTTACCACTACAGAGGCCCATGCAAAGCACCATCCCACCAGCATGGTTCTGGAACTTTATCCCACGTTTGTACCTTGACACATTCGCGTGGGCATTGCGCCATCGGCTCAAGCCGATTCATGTGATAACTTGCTCTTTCTATTGGAGCCAGCGAGTTCTCGACTCGACCGGCCAACTCCATCGGCTCATATTCGGACGCACATGATTGTTGAGCGCCGAAAACAAATATATTGTCGGATGATGTCTCTGTTGGGCACCGGACAACAACCAAAGTCGGCTGGATTCTCAATCCGGACTACGAGGCAGTTTGCGTGATTATGGACTCTTCATCGTGGACGAGCAAAGTGTGCAGGGGAACGAGAGAAGTCTCTTTTTTGTTCTGGAGTGCATGGAACATGTAGATTGCACCGTGCATGTGTTGTTCATGCATGGGCGATCATCTTGTCAACTCGTGGGTTGTCAGCGATTTGTCTTGCCCCGAAGCTAAGCACATCACTTCACACATCACTTGATTCGGTCATAGCAGTTGCAGGATAAAAACTTTTTGATGCCAAGCAGTTATACCAACATCCGTATCTATTAACCGATGGCTTCCGCGGCGCCCTGCGAGTACTATTACTGGTACACCAAAGTAAAACAGATATTGTCGGGCATCACCCCTCCATATTCCCACTTTGCTTGGGCTATTAGAAAAACAACTTGTGTCACTTGATTATGCTGCCATGTTATTCTAGATTGAGCAAGTCTACAGCCAAGACTTCTTCACTTCGTAGGAAAAGCGACTAACTCGGTAGTCTGCCAATGATTCTTCTTGCTCAAGCTGGCATGAGCCTTAAAGTTGTCCAAGTCCGTGGGGCAAAACATGTTCGCTGTCCTTGGCCAACTTCCGAATCCTTTATGCACACGGCAAGGATGTCTCGTCGATGCTCGAAAAATATCCCACCCATGCTATCGACTGGGTTGTTCGCGTCGCACTCAAGCTCATACGACTCGGCGGTCAGGTAGTGCGTCAGGTGTTACATATTGAGGTATCTGTTGGCTGATGTCGGTGTAGGAACGATCACGTTGATGGCTGGGATTACCGGTACAGTTTTGCCACCAGCTGCCGCCGAAGCTTCCTTCTGAGCGTCAGAAAACTCTCCAAAGTGAGCAAAGTCGCGACCTGAATTGAACACGGGCGCTGCTGACGCTTAAAGAACACTGACACTGACAGTTGTGAGATGCGACATGAAGTTGCCGCTCGCCGAGCTGCCGGTCCAGCTGTGGTAGAACGTCGGGTATACGCTGGGAGCTCTGCTGTGAGTGGGGATCGAGAGGCCTCCTGAAAGGAGTTGGTTGAGAGATTTACTTACAGGTTACCTCAATGGCTTGACCAGGGGTTCGGAAGTCTTGGGGCAGGTTCGGCTGCTTGAGAAGCCACGACAAGACCCCTTCGAGACGCATCAACGGCAACGCATTATGTAACTCAGCTGAGCCCTGCTCTTCAAGCGGGATCTTCTCCTTCATCTCTTTGGTGGTAGCAAAAGCTGATTCCAAAATCTGGCTCATCATAACAGCTACCAGGCCAGGAATGTCACGGTAATTGACTCGGTCCCCTATAGCAGTCTTGAGCTGATCCAACGCATAGTTGAATTGAGGTCCAAATTCCGCAAGTGAAGTCACATTTTATAAGTACTAAGCACGATAGTAATTGAGAAGAATCGAAAATTTTGAACGCGCAGCCTTCTCAACGTTGGCCTGGCGCTGACGCTCTTCGGCGATTTGACGCTGTTCAACATGGTAGGCATGGAACCTAGTCAGCAGATCTTAACAATACAATTTTTTCGTTATGCTGCGCAGTAACAGGATCAATACCAGAATTCCCCGAGGTAAGAGATCGGAGGTTCATGCGCTCAGAGCCGAGCATTGAGTTCAGCTTGTCATCAATGAACTGCTTACGCTCGACATGGTCTTCGATGGGATCGTCGTTGACAAGAGTGATAGGTGCAGCGGGAGAAGGACAAGACCTGGGACTCGACAAATCATTTTGATGAGGTAAACTTGGAAAAGCGTGGATGAACAGGCGCAGGCGCAGGCTCAATAAAGGGCTTGCGCAAGACGGTAGGAGCAGGATCATAGTGATAATACTGGGCAGCTACCTGTTTTTGGCGCTCACGGTCCTCATATTCATCCACGAAATTCCAGCAATATGGTGGTTTGGTTACACCATGTGTAATATTACCAATACTTGTGAGCTTTTGTGAGTTATAAGATATAGATCCGACCTGAGTATCTGGCTCACCGACTTTTTAAGGCATTTCAGCAGGTGTAGACGGTTTCAGAAACGATGGCCACTCTGCTCATTTGAACGGTCCTGCCGCGTATGACGTTGAACACATGGTGGGTATGGATGTTGGGGGGCGGAAGGGGTATTTTGACAATGGAAGTGAGCACGGCGTTGGGTGTTGGAAGGGAAGAGCAAGCAAACGTGATGGTTATACAGAATTAGAAGTGCGTGGCGCATGCAGAATCAAGCCTGTTTACATGTGTACAGATAACACTGTTCTACGCAGAGTGTTGGAAATTACAGTGTGGTCAACTGACAACAAATGTAGTGGTTGCGAGCGCTGTCACTCTCGGCTTTGTTACAGACTGAGTAAAAGCACGATAAACCTCATACACCCACTGAAGGTATCACTAGGGGCTGTATAGTTGCACAGTGTATTTTACCCTTTACTAGCTCTTCTTGATATGTCAACATGCAAGCACAATATTATTATGTTTGGCTGCAAAAACTAATCTGGCCCACATATGAGATTGGCAAGCTATCAACAAAATCAGATAGCTGAGTGCAGTCACTTTGCAATTTTATTTTCTGTCCCAAATCTTGTAGGTATGTAAGGCGTACTAGCCTATGGGGTTTTAAAGCGAGTCGATGCGGGTTCGGGCGTCATCACTGACGATCAAGATGGTGAGGTTTGCACTCGACGTCGGAACAGAGAAACACTTTGGACCCACAAGGTTGGCGTGCCCTGCCCAGAGCACGTGCGTGCTTCCCTTCCTTGTACATACTGTACCTACCTTTCATCCTTAGCGAGGCAATGAACCAAGAGCTCATCGCGAGCCAAATCTCCATCAGGGCCGTCAATGTGGCGCAGGTTAGCGACAGCGATGTTGACAACAGACAAAAGACAGGCTATCGGATAGCAGTTTCCAGCCACCGAAGCAGTGATCATCGAAGAGAAATTAATCGTTTCGGCGTTTGGGATATAGGTCGCATTCGCTCTGGCGTTCACTCGCAGGAACCTCTTCTGCCATGGCCGGTGGACGAACAACGAGAACTGCATGATGCCCATTCCCAAATGCTGCGGATCGCCCCCTTTTCAATGTCGGGACCGCGTAAGCACTCTAGGTTTTTAAACAATAATTTCTGCGCCTCGACGCCTCAATCGCGCTTCTGTGGCTCAAGATAGCGAGATTCGCCTTGGCAGGCTGCCGATTCCCGACTTAGCGCCAGAAACTGGTGTTTGTGCGACGAAACCGGAAAGATCAAGCCAAGATGCTGATGCTGCAAGTGAATCAAGGTCGCGTCCCTGAAGGATCCCATTATTAACCTACAGAAAGTTCCTTGATAATTGTCTCTTTACTTTCTGTCTTTAGCATCGAAAGGCGTTTGTTATCTCTGATTTTCATCTGCGATATTGTTAATATCTTCTTTCATTTTCTTCACGCTCATTCACGATCGCGAAGTCACCCGTTCATATTCCCGATCCAATAGTCATGAAGACGGTCATATCATCGCTAATTCTGATCGCACGGGTCGCACTCGCTCAAGAACGCTGCGACGCACCGTCGCCATCCATATTCTGCAACACTACTGAGATCCTAGCCTATGAATCATCAGACTGCAAGCCTTTCCATATCTTTCTCACGCGTGGCTCTGACGAACCCTATCCTGGACGCCTCGGAAACATCACCAAAGAGATCTGCGCGGGCCTTGGTGGGGACGACTGCGGTTTCGAGAATGTCGTATATCCTGCTAGAAGCACGGCATGGGGTGCAGACGCATGGTGCAAATCTGCTGGAACGGGAGCCATCAACGGACAGAATCAGATGAAGTCATACAGTGAGAAGTGCCCAGACAGTAAACTCATGCTACTCGGGTTCTCACAAGGCGCTGCTGTTGCACAGGATATGCTAGGAGGAGGTGGAGGAAATGTCTTTGAATGCACACAAGACTCCAACCCAGCTTTGGACCAAGATATTGGTAATAAAGGTGTGTATTGATCCCCGGGAATGCCTTTCTTTATCGTACGCTGACCAGACACAGTTGTCGCAGCTGCTACTTTTGGTTCCGTGGTTCGCAACCGTGACACCAACTTCACCATTGGCGACGGTAAGCCTTTCGACGGCCGCCGCGCCCGCACTCCAGAACAACTCTCCGCTCTTGCAAAATACTCCGATGTCCTCTTGGACTATTGCCACCACGGTGACCCGATATGCGCTGTCGGCAGTACCCCCGAGAGCGTCGAGCACCATCTCGACTACTTCATCCAGCACAACGAGGAGGTCACCAAGTGGGTCGTCGGCATGGCCAAAGCGAATCAAGGAACGGTAAGTGATGAGAACACGCCTGTCAGGCCTCAGTCTGGTGCATTATTTTCAGCTGCTGCGAAGTCTGCATCCACGGGTTTGCCAACGCCTACCGCAATCACAAACGCGATGACTACTAACGGTAACGAGACATTTTCCGCGCAAACAAACTCTTCTACAGAGAATGCAAATACTGGTGCCGCTGAGTCTCTAACGATGAACGGTGGACTTGCTGCTTTCTGGGCTGCTATCATCTTGACATTGCTCCAGTAGCTGACCACTCGTAAGTTTGATCGAGGGTTAGTATTTTGATCCTGCGGGGTTATAGACAATAGATCTTTAGCATTCAAGAAACCAGCATATGGCGTAGTAAAACATAGGATACAACCCTTCAAGTGAAAATCGTTCCTTGACTTTGTCCTTGTAAGATAATGTTGATGTATTCAAAAAGCTAGGGACTCAAGCAAAGATTCTTCAGGCTCTTGCATTTTACACGTTTCTCTTTAGATTTCCCTATACCCAGGTATCGCTGTTCTCAGCACCCGATATATACGGACAAGAGCAGACTCACGCGTTGTCTTAGGCAATCGACATTATGGCCGGCTGTCCAAGTGCAACGGCTCTCACGATCAAGTAACGAAACCTTGGGCAAAGAAGGGATCCTCCCCAGTATGGTCTTTTCATCGGTATGGAGCGTGTGTTTTTGGGACTACAGATTAAGATCCAGTCTAGTTTCAAGTCCCGTTGTTCTTGTTATCTTCATCCAGGGGTATGCCCAAGAGTATCACGATGACTCGAGCCAAGATTATGGCTTCAAGGGAGCAGAGATACCGACACTCCGGCATGCCAGAGGTTATTTTTACAACCGGGTGTATCACGGTGTGGCAGCGGCATTAGATCTACTTTTCTTAGACTATCTTATTATGTTTAGCAGTAGGAACCTCAAGTGAGCTTGACTCTTGCAATCTGTTGTGCTTAGATACGAGTCTTTATGACATGACTCGGCCGGTATACTCTACTTGCGGTGCTCAGTGGGCAATAGACAGGAAACAGGAGCGGCATCGCCACCCATTCGCATGTCGCATACCTATCGCGTCATCCTGCATCCAGCCTATCACTGGTAATTTAGGTAGCTCTGAGCAGCTCTTTTTCTGCTCTGCCTCGCCTGTTTCATTTCACAGTGATGCATGACCATGAAGCATGCACGGAAAGCGAGTCAAGCGATATCGTAAGACCCCGAATGCGCAAGCAAAAGACGTACCGTCTACTCCCAAGCCACCTCCCACTCTGCACAAGGTTTCCATTCCTTCGTCCTGAATGCAGATGCGTTTTGCATCGACATGAAAATCCATGTCGCGAGAAGCTCCACAGCAGGCTGATGAGCATCTTTGGAAGACTCTGTTAGCTTGGGCAACGGACAGCAGCACCTCAAACCCCTCCATTCACTTCCTCGCCCGCGCGTTCCGCATATATGACGAAGACCAAGATGAGTGATCACAAGCCCGGTTGTGGTCAAGGCTTAGTAGCGGTAAGCGCCGAGGTCTTCCATCTGATAATGATAAGATCAAATATTTTCATCTGATTACCATGGTCCCACGTTACAGTGCGCCTTGATTGGATAATGCTGCGCCGCTGATGCCAGGTTGAAGGGCTTTCAGGCATTTGGGCCGAGTCTCGGTACAAACCAAGGCGGCGCTATGTCTGTTTGGAGGAACGTCAAGCTTCGCCACGGCAGCGCTTGTTGGGGGTTTGGCAGGCTTGTCGGCGGGATGGCTTTCCCCTTCTCGTGGACAGCCCTGCCAGGCTGGTCGCATTAGTTCGCGTTGCAAACGCAATGGCGCGACCCATTCACATATTCACCCAGTAAAGTAGCCGGCCTACCGGGGACAGCACAGCAGGACTTGTGGACCGATGGAAGGTGGAGTTATGTGCATATGCATCTGTAAACTGTTATATGAGCCCGTTCCCTGTCCGCTTGCTTGTCTTATTGATCTCTGCATTTCTCCCCATTCTTCTGTGTTCAACTAGCAGTCTTGCATCGTCAGCTTGCAACATGGGCTTCTCTTTCAAGGGGCTAACGTCCAGTGCTCTGCTTTCGAGCAGCAGGCCTACCACCGATGCAGACCACAAGGACGTTGCTGATGTACCTGCTTCGGTGCAAGGCCACACCAGCATAGACGTCGATCGTCCTAATGAGAAGCTGGGGGCACCCCATACTGCTGGTTCCAGTGATTTTGACTCTGATGAGGAGTTGAATAGGGTCGATACCACGGCTGAGGCCGGTGTCCAGGCTGTCCAAGCTGCCTCCATGCTATGGACCAAGAGGGACCTTATTCTTGCATACATTTTGTGAATCCCCCAGCACTATCGCCGGATCGATGAGCTCAAGCTAATGACGACCAGTATGTGGCTCATTCAATTCTTCATGTCTTTCGCCTCCAGCTCAACGAGTACCTTGACGCCATACGTTACAAGCGACTTTCAAGAGCACTCCCTTACAGCCCTCACCAGTGTCATCTCTTCCATCGTCGCCGGTATCTGGAAGCTCCCATACGCCAAGATCATGAACATCTGGGGACGTCCTACTGCACTCTGCATTGGCGTTACCTGCTACATCATCGGTCTAATCATCATGGCTAGCTGCAACGGCGTCAAGGCGTACTGCGCCGCCCAGACCTTCTTCTATACCGGTTACAATAGCATTGACTTCTTCATGACCGTCTTCATCGCCGATACCTCTAAACTTAAGAACCGAGGGTTCTTCATCGGCTATGCGGCTTCCCCATGGCTCATCACTACGTGGATTTATGGGTATGCTGTCAACAGTGCCATTGCTCCTGGAGGCATTGGTTGGCGATGGAACTTTGGCATCTTCGCCATCATTGCCCCCATAGTCTGCTCGCCTTTGATCTTCATGTTCTTCCTGTACGAGGGCAGAGCTCGTAGGCAGGGTCTCCTCCCCGCACGACCAAGCCGTGGGAATTTCAGCCAAACTGCCTTCTACTACCTGCGCGAGTTCGATGCCGTTGGTCTCCTCATTCTAGCTTCCGGTCTCTCGCTCTTCTTGCTCAGCTTCAACCTTTATTCCCGCCAAGCCAAGGGCTGGAAGTCTCCTTTGATTATTTGCTTCATCATCTTTGGTGCGCTCCTCATTGCGGCATTTGGCATCTGGGAGAAGTTTGGCGCTTCTGTCACCTTCATCCCGTGGTCCCTTCTGAAGAACCGGACCGTCATCTTCACTTACACCATGGCTGGCTCGCTCTACATTGGCTGGTACATTTGGGATACATACTTCTACTCGCTGCTCATCGTCGTGTTCAACCAGACCGTCCCTCATGCTACCTACATTGCCAACATTTACACAATGGGAAGCTGCTTCTGTTGCCTCGTATATGGACTGGCTCTACGCCGTTACGGAAAGCTCAAGATGTACTCGCTCTTCATGGGCGTTCCGCTCACCATGCTTGGTGTCGGTCTCATGATCAAGTTCCGTCAGCCTGACGAGAACATTGGCTACATTGTCATGTGCATGATCTTCATCGCCTTTGGTGGTGGCATCCTTGTTACTTCGGAGCAAACAACTCTTATGGCTGTCTCCAAGCAGCAGGACTTCCCTGCTCTGTTGGCTGTCGAGTCCATGATTATCGCTATTGGTAGTGCGATTGGTTCCACTATCGCAGGAGCCATCTGGACCGGTGTCTTCCCTGCGAGACTCTCGGCCAACTTGCCTGCTGATGCAATGGAGAACTTCACTGCGATCTACGGCGATCTGAACACACAGTCGAGCTACCCGATCGGCAGCCCGACTCGCGATGCCATCAACCTGAGCTATGGCCAGACGCAGAGGTACATGCTCATCGCTGCTACATGCGTCTACACAATCACCCTGTTCAGTGTGGCAATGTGGCAGAATGTCGATGTTAGGACGATGAAGCAGAGGACTATTGGTCTTTTGTAATTTATTTCTCTCTTGTTCTTACTCACAGTCAGGATATAGGAGAATGGGCACTTACTGACATATGATATGTCGTCTTGCCTTGCTCGGATAGTATTCTCAGTAAACGATCTGGTAGATGCAGGAGTGATTTTCTATAGGTCACGGTCTACAGGCAATAAACACCGTTGAGTGATCTTCGACTATCATACAATGGCGACATGGCGCTCAGTAGAAGGGTTAGGCAATTCGCTCATGACGATGGGAAGTCTATGCTTTGCGCTTAGGGCTTACTTCGGTAACGATCGCAATTACAGACTCAAAATGACTACTGCAAATAGAACCAACTATGTATAATGGAGGACGACTAACTTTCAAGCCTCTCCTCCTAAGATACTTCGGAGGGTTGCTGTGCGCTTGTCTTATGGAATTTCTTCCTTTGAATACACTCTTGACAGCAAAATAGCAGTCAATTACCTGTTCAATGAGAGTTTTTTCATGTTTCTAGAAAAGATGTACTGCGGCAATGGCTTCTTCACACCTTCGCTCGATAATCATCAAGGCGTTTGCAAATACTAGGTATATTTTAAGCTAGTCTGCAACGGCATTTGAAGGACTTGTTGTCCGCATTTGTGACATTCTTCTCAGCAGTGAAAGTACACCGCTAATTCATCTGATATTCACCCCAGCCGGTCCTTGAAAATAAGGATATCTTGACACCTCCGCACGCTAAAGGTCGCAAAGAACCACACTTCGGAGCTAGACCAAGTAAAAGTGTTATTGGGAACATTTTCGTATATAGTTGGCCATTAGCTCTGCCTCAATGTGGCCGGTCATGTTGATGTTGTCCGTCCAGTGTTTGATTATGGTTGGGAGGGCGGAGTGGAAGCTGGAAGAATACTCTAAAAGTTAGCGCGACGCGACGGCACGTGAGAGCGCACTTTGTCGCGCAACCTGGGGCAGACTGGGTGCGCCGTTCCGCGACATGATGACCCCTCTGAGGATCGATAATACTGTCAAGTGAATGAAGGGACCAATTCTGGAGCTATCTGGTATAACCCTTACTCCCTAACCAAGGTAATCCTCGCCATCGTCCAAGTAATCTTAACCATGACTATTGTTTTTGTTTCGCATCCAACCTCGTTGGGCAGCCAGCCACACGCCCAGCCTCCCCAACCATGGGACGTTGACCAGCCACCTCTCCACGCACGCACCCCGCGGCATCTGTACAAAAATACTTTCGTGCCTCGTTCTACACGAGGTACAATCGACTCGCATATTCCATTACTATCTGCCACCCATTTATCAACATTACCATTCCGGTGGTACACTTCGCCGCCCGATTTCCACCTCCAAGGTTGCTCAGACGATACCTACTGAGCTTAGACTTGCTTGCCACAATCTATACCAGGAACTGGGCTCGAGACATACAGATTCAGTAGTAGGTTAGTCTTTGGGGTGCATACTGCACGCCAATCCAAGTTAACATTTGTTCAGAACCCTTCACCGCCAACTCTCCCACCAAGCTACTTGAACAGGCACATCACAGCCTCTACCCACCTCACCCAAAACCGAGCACCCCTCGTTTTCCGCCACAATCATGCAGCGCAACGTCGTCATCTTCCTCATCATCCTCATTCTCTTCATTCTCATCGCTGCAATCGCATACCTCATCTACTACCTCCAAACGCGCATGGCCGTCAGTGGCACAGCCTCTTCTGTCTCAGACATGACCGAGAACGCCTAGGCTCCCCTTTCCCTTCTTAATTACGAATACATACGACTTGAAAACATACCGGATGATTTTTGCATGGCAACGGCGTTTGGGATAAGCATAGAATGGGAGAGGTTGAATTGGAGCCCCGACTCTGTGTGCCGATTGCATGAGACTTTGATTGGAATTCAGGATGGTTTGATGTGTATGGCTTGGACATGTGTTAATTCAGGTGGAAATGTCACAGTAGGCTTTGGATGATATACCCGCGACGCTACAGGATCACACGGAGTGACTGATAGTATATTTTTTACAAATTGGACAGTTGAGATCAATGAACATTGTCAACAGATCAGAGCATAGTTGCTTGATTGTTCAAGACTGCCTTGCAGGAATCTTCATAACTGAATAGTATCTCTGTATTGTCCGCGCGAATGCTTTTCAACATGTTCTGTAGGTTCCAAACATCGATAGCAACAATTCCTCATGTGTGACTGCATCATAGAAAGGCCTTTCATTCTATACGTGTACACCATCTATGAGGGTATCTGAACAATATCCCATATCCTATCACGTGCAAATACATCCTCATATACCTCCTACACCTTCATCATTGAACACGGAAAGCAAATCTCCCCATGACACTCAGTGAATGCGACGCAACTGCACCTTCCGCCTCAAAAGTCACTGCTTCGAACAAACTCACGCTAGAGAACCAAGCAATCAAGACCATTCAATTCGGGTCAAAGCACGTCCAGGCACAACCGCCGAGTCAAGCAATACATTTTCTAGTTTACTACCCTTTTCTGTCGCCTGTATTTGATATGGACATGCAATAAACGAAGACAGCCAATCTCCGACTCTTCGTACTTGGACCATTTCAAATCTCCTAGTCTACCAATACTAAATACTATCTACGAATAAAAACGCAAACAGACTCGCTTGGGCCAAATCCAACTTTCATCGATGCTACAGGAGTTCACCCTCAGCGCTCAAATAGGGGTTCTAAAATGACCACGATATTTCACCAAATCCCATAGTACTTTGAAATGCACCAAAGCCTGAAACAGACGCCTTAGAGTCCAAGAGTATACGGAGCAATAGCAGTTCGTAGTGATGAGTTCTCACTGCTCTCTTAAAATTGACCGCGATGTCACTCATGATAACAGGGGCAAGATAGCTACGAATATCCATCTCACCACATTCTATTCCATATCGTCGCAAACGATACCCATAGAATTGTATGTGCTTACTCAATCACTAGTTTTCCCTCTGCTAAAGCATCCAAGATTTTGATCTCACACTATGCAGGCCATTTACTCAGGGATACCGTCCAACACCTCAGCAATCGATGATGCGAGATCTAACCATTTCCCCGCAATCTGGCTTCTAAAGACTCACACAGACACCCACAAGCCAGTGCCCCTTCCTTCAATTACAGCCCTACTACCCCTGAGCATCAAAAATCCCAGCAGCGGCGCCAAAGCGCACAGAAACTCACTCTTGACGGGTCGATCAGCAGACCAAAAAAAACAGTGGGCCTAGTATATTCTATACTATTATAACTAAGCGAGAACTTGCGTGCAGGTGCGGATGCTCGTCGAGTGTCTGTTGGGGAGCGGGCATGGGCTAGGAGCCGCCCGCGTGGAAGAATGTGTTGCATGTGAGTGGTTTGATCGCGCCATGCAAAAGGGTTTTGGGTTGGGGAGATGCTGAGTGATGTGCAATCGGAGCTGGAACGATGGATGTACTGTGGGGTATTTTTACTTTTACTCTTTTTTTGCCGTTGCCTTGGAGGAAACTGGTTGGTAGGATAGCAAGGGAAAAGAAAGGGGGGAGGTGAAAGGAGTATTGGGATTCAGTACACATGTCCATATCATACAAGTCGCGATATCTGTTTGAGCCGGACAAATGCTACGGTACCCAAAGCATACCTCACCGTTGAACTCCCTCCCGAGGCGATAAACCCTCATGGTGTCAGTGTCGAACTTGCATGGCAAAATCGTCCTCCACCGACGTCACATCCTCACCTCATCCATCTAACCATTGTAGCATCACCTGCCCGACCCCGTCGACGCCGGTTCTCGCGGCGGCATCCTCCCTTCCTCGCCCCGTCCCTCCCTTCCTCACCGTTGAAACCAGTCTGACATCAGCACTGGACTTTGCACCGAGACACTGCAATCCAGGTATGCCTACCTACTCCACGAGACAAGACCGACATGTGATGGTTCTCTGTCCGTCCCCATCGTCGTACGTCGAGTGCTTATGGGGGGGCAAGGGGACCACGCACTGCACCCTAGCGCCAGTGAACCAGCGGTCGGGTCGGTCAGTCAGCTCGATGCGCTACCTGTCCACTCGAGGGCGGGTACACTCTTTGCGACATGGTGATGATAGGACGCGGAGTATACGGAGCACAGCTGAAAATGGCTGAAAGTGGAAATAGGTGAGGAAGCACAAGGCAACACGACACCATTCGGCTGAGTTGGAACCCAGCGAATCGATCTCCTATAATGCTCTTGTTATAAGTTAGTTGTAGAAAGGATATTCACCCTGTTCCAGGATGGCTGGAGTGAGCGTGAGCGCTGAGAATAGGCATTGCTCTTCTTGATTAAGCCTGTGGTGGTACCAATGTAGGTTGCAAGCGTCGAGTGCGTGTGATCAGGTTCGCACGCTCGTTCCAGAACTCGCAGCGGCGTCGGACTTCCCCGCGTTTATTGTATATGCGCTTAATCTGCTGGCCTTGTTATTATAGGGGGGAGGCAAGATTCTTGGGTCGCTTAATAGGCTGAATCGCATGTGCGGTTTACCCTGTTACCCTTTTTACACTCGGCTACACCGGTTGAGGTATACAGCGTTCGGGCCGGGTAGTATGTGTAGGTGTGTGTATACTCTAGGGGTGATGTGTGTACACAACTACTCAGGCTCCCGATGCATGCTATTGTAGACACCGGGCCGTGTGATTGAGGTAGGTGAGAGTACATCTCTTGTGATAGCCGTCGGGCGTAGTTCGTGGGGTAGGATGAGGTGATACGGCACTCATTCCATTAGTCTCGCATTATCTTTTCCCATCACGTTCTGTATTCCTCGACGCTAAGTCGTGGCCATTACAATCCCAGCGTCCGCTTGCGAGCCGTGGTAGTGGTATGCGAGGGGGCCTTCCCCACGCGCCACTCTCTGGCGGTGTGGCAGCGGGCATAGCTGCTGTGCTGGCGATGCAGCACACAAGACAGATGTTGTACAACAGTGACAGTCAGACACAAATGTCCAAGAAGGAGACTCCCCATGTAAGCCACCTGGGTCCCGACAATCGGGTTCGAACATGCTGTCTGGCAAGGCGTAGGTGACAATTCATCTGGGAGCGGGTGCATCAGCTTAGGCTGACCACCCCCACCTCCCCCCGGAGAGCAGGATTGTAGGCACTAATCCTGACCCTAAGTGCCTCAAGGGGAACAAGGTAGATGAAGAGGTGCAGCCGACAAGTCAGCATGCAGTGTTACCAAACCATGCCTAGATGTGGATGCACCACCCGCTCGGGGCTTGCAGTCACACAATCCAGCCCATGGCTTACCCAAACATCAATTGTAGATGCGTTGGCCAGGCGTGAATAGTACTGAATCTTTGATGACCTGGAGTCAGCTTAGTTGACAGCAGGAAGATGTCTACTACCCTGAATTCTCTCAGACTAGACGGGTCGGACCTCAAGGTGGAGCCGGGAGAAGGGGCATACAATGACCAAGGGCGGGGCTGAGGGAGAGTCAATCTGATCTTGCTTGGCATGAAGGAGGAAGAGGTCCACCGTTTGATCCTAGATTGGAAGGTCCACACTGACAGCCGTTGGCGTTGGCGGAGATTTTGCCACCATGCCGCGGTAAAAGGTTGCAACAACAACACAGCTGTCCTACTCGCCAAACCAGTATGAGGCTCGAGGGATCCCATTGAGAAGATTTGATGGGGGTGGTCAGTGTACTGGTGGTGGCTATCATGAACCTCCCCTCCCCCAACATTGCTTTGTCTCTACAGTACGCAGTTTCAGCAATGGCGAGTTGGTTTTTCGATTGGAAGATCCGGTGGAAAAAGCACATCAAGTCTCCCACGTTGGTCGGATAAGGTGTGATAAGCACGTGGGGAACACTGCAGCATCCACCCACGCGTTGCCAAGAAGAGGCTTGTTCATGTGAGCTGCACTCTGGCTGGGGTTGTGGACCTCGAAATCTCCCGTTGGCCTCTCTGAATCCGCTGTTCATGCAACGGCAGAACAGGCAAGGAGACTGTCGGCTGAATTTGATCCAATCAGGAGGGTGGAGGGGACGGCCATGACTTGGTGACCAGCCGTCTAAGACGGAAAGTATCGTTTCGGCCCAATCCTTTTGATGCTTTCTGAGGGCGAGCATGACTTGAAGCCATCACTGGGTACCAAAGTAGTGTGCACAGGTCCAAGGCAAAGAGGCAACATGACCTGCTGCTTCGCGTGGGTGGGGATCGAACAGGCAGGGCCCCTGATGTGCCAGGCGGCGGGAACTCGATTCTCGGTTTGGGCGCTGGCAAGGCTTCTGCCGGCACGGTTCGATTTGGGTTTGCACGATTGACTGCAACCACGTGGGAGGAGTGCCGATGGATTGGACAATCTTTGTCCATTTCTCTGACAGGGGAGTTTTACCGGGAGACCTGCCACAAAGGCTATGCTTTCCTGTTTTGTTTCGAGTGAAAGTTGCGCAAAAGCGGCCGTGATCAAAGAAACATGGACAGAGATGCAAGCAGAGACCAGCTCAGGATATTGCTCTCCCCGTGCGCCAGGCCAGGCCCATGGGTTTAGGATAGAGGTACAGTACCTAGGTACCTAGGGTAGGTAAGGCATCTTTCGAAGGTAAGGCATCCGTCTCTTTTCAGGCTGTGTTGCCATGTGAAGGGCAGGATTGCAATTTCGGGGCTCTCGCACTAACAGCCGAAGCCTCGGCAGGGGCTGCGAGGCATTTTGCGGAGACGGGAACAAGCCACAGCTGACGAAAGGCGTTGCATGTGTGTGTGCACTGTGCATGTGAGCATGTCCTCGCTCCAGATTGGACCGAAAGGAGGGGGGGGGAGGGGAACAAAGATGGGCGCTGTGCATGGCGCGGTCACGGAGAAAGTGCAGGGCGAAGTTGACTTGGGGCTTGCCCACGCTTTTGCTTCTTCCTTGGGAGAGAAACAGGAACGTGTTCCTGGTAGCTGGGAGAAGAGACGGGCATTGTCGCTAGCCATGTGAGGAAGAAAGTGGTCTAGTTGTGCTCCCTTCCGCGCCCCACAACCGAAAGGCACAGCCGGTGGCTGCAGGGCGGATGAGGAGAGTAGAATGTAGGCCTTGGCTAAGTTCTGTGGTATTGTACTGGTACCGGTAGGTACGGTGGGGGTACGGTTAGGTAGGTATGCACTGTGTAAGTACTGTACTGTACTGTACACTCAGCTCAGTAGGGGCGGAAGCCACGCGAGAGGCGAGTGTGCATCCGCGCCTGCCCCGGATCCAAAGTAGTCTAGACCAGGACGCCCGATCCAGGCTGTCGGGCCTTTGGAAACCTGGCAGGCTGGCCCAATGTCCGGCAATGTGGAACCTCTCATGCCGCCATCGTGGGTACAGTCGTGTCCCCCCATGCTCACCTACCCTCGTCTGTTTTGCGGGTTGGGGGTTGGGGGTTGGGGGGGGAGAGGGGCGTCTGCAACTCCGCACGGCGCAGGCCAAGTTCCAACGCTGCACTGCCCGAGGCCAAGGTTCGATGAAAAATACATTGGCTCTGCTCTGCTGCGCTGTGCTATGCTGTACGTAGGCAGAACAACAGAGGTTGAAACGGGATTCACTGCACACAGAAAGTGACAGTGACAACGAATACACAGCCTATTTGTTTTGTGCAGGCTGTAGGTAGTAGGTACCCGAGTACATAGGCATGTACCTTGAACCGGGTAGCTTACTGTGTACATGGTAAAAGACGCATACTTACACATTGAGTAACTCGCGCCGACACAAGCGGTCTCTTCACGGCGCGCAACAAGAGACGGGATCCGGTGCGCAACAAGAGACGGTAGGTATCCGAGTTCATATTGTAGGGCAGCCAAATGGTGCAAGGCCGGACGGAATGAACGAAAAAGCCCAAGGCCATCCTTTCCTGTCAGCTCTCCTTTGGGTAATGGTGGCGATGCCTGCCACCTTCCCGTTAGCCATCATCACATACCACGGGAAAAAGGGACAAGTGATGGCTCTACCGGGACCGAGTAGGACGACTGCTCCTCGCAAGAACATCATTCCTCTCCTGGCCGAAGACGTCGACGTCGCACTGTCATTCCAGCGCACTCTTGGTACCACACGAGTACCAATGTCGTACTCCGGGGAACTGGGTTCACCCTCCGACCCGTGCGCTTTGCTGCGACGGTGTCTCTCTCCTCTCTATTGTAGAGTACCGTCTGGTAGCTGGTCGACAAGTTGGGGTAGTACTGTCTGGTTGTATACGACTACATCCTGTACAGACTTGACAGTCTAGAAACGAGAAAACGTGCATACGGGCTAGGTAGTGTACTCTCCTGTGTGGACCAAGATGCCTTTAGCCAGTTACTGTACTCTCCTGTGTGGACCAAGATTCTTTTAGCCAGTGTGTACACAACCTTGGTCACGCGGCCGTGTCGAGTTTGCATCGCCATGCAAGTCGCTCTGTAATGGTCAAGCTGAGCAGCAGCTATCATTTGTTGGCGATGATTTCAAAAGGCCTAGAGGACATGTCGGACACATGCATACACACATACATACATACGTAGGGTGTGCTTGGACGATCCGCTTATTTCTCGAGTGCACCTAGGAAGAGGATCGATGGGCTATCTAGGGAACAGATCACGATGAAGAACAAGCCAGACCAGGGCACTGGGAAAACAGGGCAAGGCAGGAAACCGAGTTGGCAAACGGCCGCAGAAGGGCAGATTCTGGGATGGTGGAGTGCCACGTAGAGGTTTTCAGAGCAGAGTGGTGTTCTTCGCTGTACAAGTCATGAAACAAGTGTAGTGTCACGCTGCGGACGGGTGAGGGACTTTGTGGTTGCACATGATGCCTCTGCGGCTCCGTGATTCGACGTCAGCATCCGGATGACCTCGATGAACTGGCTTGCCCTTTGATCCAAGGTAGCATAACGCTCTCTATTCGCATCTAGACGAAGCAGCCACAATCAGCGCAAGGTGAAGCGGATCGCGCGCAAATGGGCGTCTACAAGGAGGTGGCGAGGAACCAGTGTTCCTTCTAGGGCTACTATAGGTACGGTATTGCACCCTGTCGAGCGCCGTGGCACACACGAGCCGGCCCCCTCGTGGTTGCCTGCCCATGGGATGCGGTTGCGCATTCAGGAACATGAGACAGATTTGGGTACGTGGCATATCGATCGTCAGCGTGTGCGGTAGCATTCAAGGTAGGCTGAACAAGGAGAGCGGTACCGGTAGAGTGCAAGACTACGGAATTGCACATGCGGAATCAGTTCGGGTGGTGTCAACAGAGCTTCCCGACGTCGCTCACTCTACTACCTAGTACCTAGTACCTAGTACCTGTTGTGTGTAGTGATGGGGCATTTGGCATGCCATTTGCAGTCCAGTCGCCAAGGGGAGGGGGAGATGATGGTCAAGAAGAATGTACCGGTAAGTAGATAGGATGGGCGAAGACAAGACCAATTCTACCGAGTCGTGGTATGTATGGCGTGGTATTGTACCGGTCAGGTAGCAGGTAGCCCCTGTTGACGGTACAGTGCGGATGGATTGGTGAGGCTGTCTAGCTAGGTATGTACGTACTGTAGGTAGGTACGGTAGGTTACTGAGTAAGGTTCCCCAGGGTCCGAGACTTGGACAAGGAGTGGGACACGGTCGGGCCTCGGCCATGGTGGTGCTGGATACTGCCGTTGGGGGGAAAGGAGATCACATGTACACACACACAGACACAGACACACACACTCTCTCTCTTTTTCTCTTTCTCTCTCTCTCTCTCTCTCTCTCTCTGGTGACTGGTCGGGCTAGCTTTGAGCCTGGGGGGTAGGTAGGTAGGGGTTGGCCGGCACAAGCGAAAAGGGGAAAAGAAAGGCTGGCGGAATGAGTGGAAGGGCATCCGCGGTGGGGCTATCACGCTCCATCACATGCCGTGCAGACAGCAGATTGTTTTGATTACGATTCGCTAGACGCACGGTACGGCTGAGTGAGCGGTGGGGTGTGTATTGTATTGTAACCGATGGCGTGTTATTTTGGGAGTCGTCTGTCATCTGCTCTCTTTACCTCGTTTGTCTGCAGGGCTGCGTGACCGGGTGCAGACAGCAGCGTGTTGAGGACGGCCAGCGAAGCGCTCTTGGACAGCCATCAGCTGGTCAAGGTAGAGTAGAAACTGTGGCTGCTGGTGCTGGTCCATGGCATGCGCCGGGGAGATGGACAATGGACGACTCGTCGTCGGGCACAGGGCAATTTCACAGCAGACGAAAAGGAAAGCAAAGCAGCGCAGAGGGCGCGGCGCAGAGGGGGAGTTAGGGTACGAGTCAGTCTCTTTCGACGACGGGTTCTGGAAGTCCGGGAGTACAACCTAGATGTGCACGGCCGGCTTAGGGACCAGGGGGCGGAGGGACAAGAGAAAGAGAATCATGTGCGCCTCCCCACACCCAGACCGCGGCCAGGACTCAGAGCCACGCGGGCGTCGACGCTTTCAGGTGCGGTGTGCAGGGCAGCAGGGATTTTTGCTTTGAATGCTGCAAGCGTCAGAGGGAGGCAAAAGTCGAGTTGGGACAGCACAACCACACAGTCAGTCAGTAGGTAAGTAGGTAGGTAGGTAGGTAGGTATCTGAATCCATGGGAGCAGACTGCTTGTGGACTTGGCCATGTCGAGGTGGTGTGCAAGGTGGATGCGACTTTGTGTGAGGGTGAGGGAGGGTGTGTGTGTGTGTGTGTGTATATATGTGTGAGGGTCTGGTGTGTGTGTGTGTGTGTGTGTATATATGTGTGAGGGTCTGGTGTGTGTGTGTAGGTACTGTGTATCATGTAGGTACAGTAGCTAGCCCACGGCAAAAAGCTAGATGGGGGCAAAGGTAGAGTAGAAGACACTTCTGCCCTCCCTCCCCCTCCAGGGCGCGTGGGCAGCCAGAAAAGCGTCGAGGCAGGCACAGGGCGAGCCAGTCGGCGGCGTGGTTGAGTTTGCGCGATGATTAGCTACGGGACCTACGTACTAGTAGAGCATGTCTGCTGTCTGTATGAAAAGAGCGGTAGAGACGGTGGGCAATGCAATCTGCCGGGGAAGCAGCGTCGGGCCTGCTTAGGGCGACGAAGGAAGAAGCAGGGGTTTGGCTAGAGTCTATGTAGGGGGGGGGGGGGGGGCACGTCCGCATCCTAGACCGGTCCCGTGCTGCGCCCACGGCTGCTCCTGTGCGGACAGTGGAGTGGTCGTGAGCTGGACTCGGTCGACAACAGAGTCTCCATACAGCTGGAGCCAGGGGGGGAAAATTGGCTATGCAGGGCCAGGTGAGGCGCTTGCTCACATCATGTGTGAACGGTGCGTTGGCAAGTACAGGCCTACTCTACTGACGGGCTACCCT